TTCTCCTTCCTTCCCCTTCCTTCCTTCTCTCCCTTCCCTTCCTTCCTTCCTCCCTTCCTTTCCTCCCTTCCTCTTCCTTCCTCCCTTCCTCCCCTTCATTCCTTCCTTCTGTTCCCTCCCTTCCCTCCCTCCCTTCCGAAAGGGTTATGGGTATGGTGCTGCAAGGGATAAATATATACAGTATATGTGTTCAGCCATGTGGATCCTGACATTAAGCTGCTTTGAAGTAGATTTTTTTCCATGAGCATCTTCCCAGAAGGCTCTGGGTTTGCAACGGATGGGAGTTGTAGTCCTACATATCCCACAAATCTCACATCCGGAAATAGTGCAGTATTTCTCAACTTTCAATCATTATAAGCTAGTGGACTTCAAGTCCCAGAATTCCCAAGCCCACCTGCATGCATGCTGGATGGGGAATTCTGGGAGTTGAAGTCCACCCACCTTAGTTACACTGCATTGGTATCATTCATTCTCAGGGTCCCTTTGCATAAACAAATGTATGGTTCAATGGCTATTTTAAATACTTAGTTGAATTATTGCTAAGCATTTTTTTAAAAATCCTCACCAGAGGAATATTATGGGCTGGCTAATGTCTAAAAATAGTGGTTTGCAAAATTTAAGATTGGTGGATTTCAACTCCCAGAATTCCCCAGCCAAGTGGCTGGGGAATTCTGGGAGATGAAGTCAGCCACCTTAAATATACTCCTCCCTTTTAATAACCACACTGTTCCTTTGGGTAGCTTCCCCTTTAAATCTCCCTCTCTTTATTGACAGCTGACAGTATTTCCTTCCGGGTCAAACTTCCTCCTCTTGACTCCGCCCCCTCCTTTTTTTCCTTTTCTATTCACCCCCCCGCCCCCCGGCCTGTTGTGACGGCTTCTCCTTTAAGCAGCCCCCTCGACGCAATGCAGGGGAGGATGAACCAATGGGGGCACGCTCAGCGGGCCACGTGAGGGAGGCGGAGCTAAGGACAAAGAGCCCGGATGGAGAGTGGGGTGGGGGGCGGCGCCAATGCAGCCGGGTTGCTCGCCCGGGACTCGTTGTGGCGGAGCGATTCGCTGGCGGCGGTGAGGCGGCCGAGTAACGGTCGCCGCCTGCCGTTGAGGGAGCGGCAGGGCGCATGCGCGGGGGGAGGCGGCAGCGGCTCCTCGGCCTCGCGGCGGAGGAAGACGGGCGGGATCCCAAAGCTGAGAGGACGCGGCGTTGCTCCCTCGCCCGGTCACCATGGTGAGAAGGGGGGGCAATTTTGAGGCCGGGGGGGGAGTGGGGGCAACGTAAAGAAACCCTCCCGGGCTGCGCGTGATGCCCAGAAGGGGCGGGGCAGGAAAGGGGAGGGGCCGGATTTGGGGAGGGGACTGCTGAAGACCCTCTAGCCCACCCCCAATCTGAGGGATTTATCTTTAGACACCCCCCCGCTTTAGACAAGAGGGGCGTCGTGAAGCCCCCAAGAGACAACAGAGGGTGTTTGACCTGGGGGGGGGGGGGG